TAGCGACATTATTCACCGGAACTATTTTAAATTTGGTATTTGAAGTTCATAATGAATACTACAGCCTAAGACAGAAAATTGTCTGTGCAGGTCCACGCCTTCGTATATCCCCCATATAACGCACCTCCCGATATTCGGTATTTTGATGATTTTAGCGACACTATTCACCGGAGTTGTTTCAAATTTGGTATTTGAAATGCGTAACGGATACTACATCTTATGTCAGAGAATTGTCTATGCTGGTCAACGTTTTAGTATAGCCCCAATATAATGGTACCTCCCTGTATTCGATATTTTGATGATTTTAGCTACTTTATTCACCGATTTTTATTTGAAGTTTTGCATTTGAATATTGTAATGGCTTATGACAAAATTGCCTATGCAGGTCCACGTCGTCGTATAGACCCTAATGTAACGGCTACATTCGGTATTTTTAAGATTTTAACAGCAGTTTTGACGGATTTTATTTTTTGAAAGTTACAAAATTCGTTCCAAATGGTGGAGGATATTCAAAGTTCGGCTCGGCAGAACTTACAGCTTTTTTTACTTTTTTTGCTGGGTAACAGGTCCTATTCATATTCAGTATTTTCATTATTTTGTCATACATTTTTTTAAAAGAATTAGAAAATATGGCCATATTTTCTAATAGAATTTCTGAAGTTCGCTATTGGTACCTTATCCTCTTGTAAACTGTATATATAGTTCCTGTTTTCTGTGTATAGCCCTTATGTAACGATATCTCCCGATAGTCAGTATTTTGAAAATTCTATGTCAATTTTTAAAGGATTTTTTTTATTCTCCCTAAATAAAATAACCGATATCGCTCGAATACTGCACCAGGCACTTTAAAAGTGTTGCTTTCCATAAAATAGCATCCTGGCCGCTATTAAATGCTTTTTAGGTTAGTTTACAGTAGCATAAAAGATTATATTTTAGGCATCCCTTTAAACCTACTTCAAACTTCTTCAAGAATAATTCTCAATGCATATGTAGGTTTCTAAATTGCAGTAGAAAACCATTTCAAATCCACGTCAATACTCAAGAATCCCTTGAGCCTTCCACAAAAACAATTTTGCCCCACAGTCCCACATTCCTTTAAAGAAACAAAGTGGATGCCAGCAACTCCACCACCGCCGACAACATCATGATGAGCGTCATCATTAACTTACATGACCATCATCAAGACCAACACCAACAACAACAAAATTTGTTGCATCAATTCTTTGCTCAAAGCTGTTGATCTACTTTGCTTTTACTAACCTTCATTTTGGTCAAGCATCAAATGTTGTTGTTGTTATTTTTGTTGTTGTTCGTGCTTTACATCTAAGCGAGAGAGTCAAATGACTACCGTCCTTCATAGTTGTCATTCCGTGTATTAAGTGGTATCCGATGAAATATGTTGGCAATAGATACAACAAACATTCTTTTCTACTTTCAGCTTCAAATGGTGGAAGCCGCACACAGCAGAAAGCTCTACCTGGCTGCAAACAGGTCTTTTCGAAATAATTTGAGTGAGCCTGACTGGCTAACAGCCAGCCATGCATTTCTTCTTGTATGTTTGCCAGCTAGTCAGCCAGCCAGACAATCGATGCACGTGGAATTTAATGTCATTCGTTTGTGTCAAAGTCGGGCGCATTGCCACTGACCGACCACTAAAAGAAAACCAAAAAACAAAGAAAGGCTCGAGCGACAAGTCGTGTGTCTGCTAATAACATTTGATCAAATACAACAAAAAAGAAACTAAATTACAATAACAACAGTGACAACGAGCAACGAGCCGAGAAAAGACAACAAATCTAACTAATGGATTGCTTGCTACCAGCAAGGTGTTGTTATGGGAGGCCGACATCCAAGTAAAGCCACCACCAATAACAACAACAATTGGCTATGTTCAGTGTAGGTACTCCCGTTTTAATGGTTATGAGGCGGCATTAAACATATGTATGTATGTATATAGGTATGCACCTACTCCGGTATACAGTGGTATGGAGATTTGAGAGCTGCAACATTTTGCATGAACAATAGGTAAAAAATAATTGATTTTTGTTAAAACGAGTATCATTACCCAGTAATGAGTAACGTGGGCACACTGTGTCTAGGTATTAAAACAAAGTTTGCGAATTCAATGCGTATATGCGGAAAGAGAAAGGGTGTCCCAACTAGAATTCATATGAAACAGATACTTAAAACCAATAAAGGAAAGTCAACTACATGATACCCTACACCACTATGCATATTTAGTAGAGCTCCGGTAACAAAATAATTTATTTAAAGTAGATCATACCTCCTATTAATCTTTGGCTTTAGCTCAGTTATAATTTGGTTTCAGAGGGAACGAATACAGGGAAGGCATATCCAATTCTGAATCGATTTTCACTAAATTTGACGGAGACATTTTAATCCTTTATACCAAATAACATTGCTATTGAGTGCATGATATCACTTCGAGAAAGATTATATTAAAAAATATACATTGGAGCCGAGTTCCACCAAATGGAAACATACGTTCCGAAACTCACTAAATTTGGACTGATCGGATTAAGGATATATATGGAAGCTATATCCAAATCTTAGCCGATCTCGATAAAATTTGACAAAAGTATTTCTGGGCTCTATAAGATATCTGGTACCAAATATTATTCTAGTGGAGTGCATATTACGATTGTGAGGGACTTAAGACCCCAAATCGGATGAAACATATACTTGGGAGCTTAATCTATATCTTAACCGATTTTCTCCCAATCTTATGTACTTGCCTTTAGACTAAATTCGGTCGGATATGCCAAAATGCAGGTCATTTGGACTGATTTGGCCATTTGGTGCACAATAAATAAAACTAAATCGGTTAAAGATACGAAATTTAAGTTTTTAGCTATATTCGTTTACATAATACTAAATGGCACCATTTTAGAAGTTTAGTCCCATTTTAGAATTCTTCGTAACTTTATACGAATTTCCACTCTATCACTGACTCTCATTCCATATTTTAGAAATCCAAGTCTATTCGTTTGACCAGTGCATGGGATACAAATTTTAACACCTATTAGTACATTTAGTACGAATTTGATAAATTAAAATCAAAAATATAGCTTCAACCTTTTCGTCTAGACGTTGATTCGCGTTGATAAAAGGATGCCTACGATCATTTCCTTAAAATATTTTATAATAGAAAATTTTAAATATTTAAAAAAATACATTGAAAAATATTCCTAAGCAATCAAATTATGTTGCTCTGAAGGTCCCTTAAAAAGTAGTCTTCCAATATGCTAGTTTTTATGTTAATCCTTTATTTTTATACCCTACACCACATAGTGGTAAGGTTATTATGTCGTTGTGCACTTGTTTGCAACATGGAGAACAAAGAGAGCTAGACGTATAGTTGCTTTGAGTATCTTCATAGAATCCCTTTCTGTCCGTCTATGCAGGTATTTTTGTGAACAAAATGCAGGTAGCATTTACTATCCGATTTAAATAAAATTTTCTAAACAATATTTGTTTGGACCAAGGACGAGCCCTATTGAAATTGATGAGAACCGGTTCAAATTTAGATATAGCTTCCATATATATTTTCAACCGATTTGAGGTTAAATATGCAACTAATGTCCAATATCAGTCCAAATGACCTAAATTTTGGCACATCTGACTGAATTCATCCTAGAAGCAAGTACATCAAATATGGTGAAAATCGGTTCAGATATAGCTATAGCTCCCGCATATATGTTTCATCCGATTTGGTGTGAAAGTGCGTGCGCAATATGCACTCCACAACAATAATCTTTGGTACCAGGTACAAGATGCAGCTCAGAAATAAGTGTTTAAAATTATATCAAGATCAGTTCAGATTTGGATATAGCTCTCATATATATCTCTGTCTCTGTTCACGTTTTTTTTTTTGTGCACCAAATGACTAATACAAGCCCAAATGGCCTGAATTTTGGCACTTCCGCCTGAATTCAGCCTAAAAGCAAGTGCTTCAAATTTTGGTGAAAATCGGCTTAAATATAGCTCCCACATATATATTTCATCCGATTTGGTGTTAAAGTCCCTAACATGCGAAATATACAGTCCACAACAATGATATTTGATACCGGACATCAGAAACTGCTCGAAAATATCTCTTCCAAATTTTATAGAGATCGGTTCAGATTCTTATGTAACTTCGATATGCATCTTCATCCAAATTGTAAAAAAAAGTGTTCATATTCATCCGAATTTTACCATTTGGTGAAACTCGGTCCGGTGTATTCATGGCTCAATAAGAAAGGTTGCTCAACTTCAAATAAACTAGAAAAACGCAACTCTATGCTGGAGTCTTATAGTGTCAAATAGACTTTTAAATATGCAACAGTTGGCTTTGTTTATATTTAAGTTTTTTAAACAAAATTTTTGTATTGGGAAATCCCGCGAAACAAGAATTGAATTTCGGGTAAAATTGTATTTAGAGGGTAGCTTTGTTCTACCTTCTGAAATTATGCTATGATATGAGCTACTTCATAAAAATTTTCAATTTAAACTTTTTTATTACGGGAGCTCTACTAAATACGCATAGTGGTGTAGGGTATTATATAATCGGTCCGCCCGACTTTTGACCTTTCCTTAGAGTTTTTTTCTTATTTTTTTCTTATTTATTTATTTATTTATTTATTATTATTATTATTATTATTATTATTATTATTGATTAGGGGGAGAGGGAATGAAACGATGTTGTTGAGTGTTTGACGAGAACTGATTCTTTATTCAATAGAAAAACTAAATCTAGCCTTAACATCTAACATAAAAATACACATGAGCTTATTTACTAATGAACGCTGTCCCAAAATACATAATGCACTCCACGCACACAATACGTTGCGGGAGAAACGAAACATACCTACTGTGTGATCGACCCTTTCTTATCTTCTATTTGTGGCCGTGCCATTAATTACATTATTTATTACCGACGATAAACATAGCATATAGAAAGCACATGCATCTTTAAGTGTTTTCTTTATTTAACTAATTTACATTCTTCGGAAAAGACAAATAAGAATGAGATAAGAATCTAAAGAAGTATATTAAACATACAAAACTATTTATACAACAAGTACAGTTTCTACAAAACTAAACATACTCCCGGCCTTAAAAGATCCTAATCTTTTAACAAACTGAGATCGATCACCTTTTAACATTTCAATTGCGTGCTTCATAAATTTCATTATTATTTATTTAAAGTAAATGATGCAAATCTAAATTAATTCTGAAATCATTTCTCAAATTACACTAATTCATATTGAAATATAATTAACGTATTCTATTGTTACGGATTTACCTACATACCTTAAAAATACCCTAACTAAAGTCGAGGAGGTGCGATGGCTATCGGCAGGTAGCGGCTGGACAGATGGTAGAGTCTTCGGAGAACCAAGTATAACACTGTGATTATGCCAACGATGAAAACACAAGTCGTAAGGCTCAGGCTGTAATGCGTAAGGTGATGCGTGTCTAGGTGAATAGGGAAACCCAGAAATCGTTTAGCTTGCGGGATATCTGGCAACTTGTAGACTTCGACTTCGTTCTTCAGACTTAGATGGGTGAGAGGTGGCAGGGATGCGGAAATGTTGAATTGCGGGAATTTGTAGCTTATCTCGCTGTTGTAGTTCTCGTGCGCCCATAACTTCATCTCTTCAGTTTCTAGCGTACAACCCGGCTGCATGCGTAATATTCCTTGATCTCGGATTCTGACGTTTTGACGTTTACCATCACATTTGACTTCAGTGACAGTACCTTTTTTAACCGAAAATACCCATGTATTCGGTGTGTGAAGTTGCTTCCAGACGTTGCGGAATTTTGAAATGGCGAATTCGCAACTATCTGGTATCGTATTAGGTTTCAAGTACAGCCTTACTTCACAGTCAGCCGGTTCTCTAGTGTTGTAAATGGGGTGCGTCTGCTGGCATATCAATAGTTTCTCCATTTTCTGACATCTAGTAAATTCATCTTCCTTGAGGGTGTAGAATGACGTCTTTCCCTCATCTATCAGAAGATACTCGCTTTTTGCTTTGAACTGTACTGACAATCCATCCTGTTTGATTGGATAAGACTGGATTGCATAAGCAGCAAACAGGTCAGTATTAATCAGAGGTATGCGAATGTTAAATAACATATATTCTTCCGTTGTTCGGGTCGTTACCTCAGCAATCTTGGCGAGTTCTATCGGAGATTCTGCTGGTAGATGCAATCTTTTTGCCACTGCAGCATTTATCATCTGGATCTGCTTCTTGAAGACCTTCACGGGAAGAATTTCGTGAAGGAAGCTACCCCGAATGTTGACCATTGCGCCAATTAAATCTCTTTGGACTACTTCCGCCTCTTGTACTGTAGCAAGAAGCTCTGAACTCTTTAACGTCATCGCGCCTCGATCTTTCATTGCGTTAATCTCAGACTGCACCACGCCTAAGGCATCGCTTAGATTGGCAATGCTTTTAAATACCGCTTTGTTTTGTTCTTTGATTACTTGTGCGGTAATGTCCTGGAGAGATGTCTGGTTATTTAGCAACTCTACCAAGGAATCCTGGTTTTCTTCAACCTTAGTGATCCTCTTCACTAACTCTTCAGCGTGCTCCTCGTCCATTAAACCAAATAGAGAACGAAACAGACCACCGACGAACGGCAATGCAGACCTTCTCACCCTTGCAGCTGGAGCTGATGCCATTATCAGTTCATGTTGATTCCTCATGCGGTCATGGGCTTCTTGCAACCGCTGAATTAACCTCAATTCTTTCATCTCGGGCACCGTTGCTACATCCATGTTGAATTTCTCCACGGCTTCATCAAGCGCCTTCATCCCCGACACATATTCCGCCATCTTTACGTGCGCCACAATATTCCATGATGTCTTAGTCAGCCCAACAGCAGCCACTTCTTCGAAAAACACGCCAGCCCTATCTTCAAATTTTATTACATTTACCTGGGCTTTCCCAGGTCTGCTTATTATAAGCATAAATAATATATGGAAAAATACATTTTTTGACTTAAATCTACTTTTCACATTATCCTTAATCATTATATCTTTTTTTACTATTGGAGTCGATTGGACCGACCCCTCCTCGTGATTTTCATCATCCTCATTATCGTCGATAGGAAAGGGACAAACATTGTGGACCGATCTTTTGGTT